GACAGAGATCTTGGAGAATTCGTGTGATGCCTTTGTGAACCAAAGCTCCAGCCTTAGAAAATCATTTCTCACATTCCCCCCTGGGTAGAAACTTTCAGGTACATCTCAGAAATCTGAGAAGGAAGGCTGGGAAATATGTGTTCAGAAGAATCTAGAGTCTGTAAGAGTCCACTAGAATGATCACTGAACATGATTGGTTTTTCTTTTTATGCATAAAAAGTATCTACTCCAAGGGGGACAAACTTAATTTCTAATCCAGTCACTAGTGCAGGTCAAAAGTGCAGAATTTTGGGGCTGGAGAGTAAGGGCTTGCATTGCATGCAGCTGACCACGGTTTGATCCCTGGCATCCCATATGGTCCCCCAAGCACCACTAAGAGTGATTCTTGAGTCAAGAGTAGCCCTTGAGCACTGCTGGATATGGCCCCAAACGAAGACAGGCCCCCAAATGCAGGATTTTCAAAAATAAGTGGTACACTACCAGTGAAAATGGCACACACGTATATAATATGTATATATATATATACATACCTTAGGAATAATCTGTGTTAGTGGGGATATGGCTAAAAAGGAATTCTTATGCACTGCTAATAGGAATGTTGCCTGGTTCAAACCCCATGGAAAAAACAATATGAAGATGGGCAGAGCGATAGCACAGCAGGTAGGGTATCTGCCTTGCATGCGGCTGACCTGAGTTCAATCCCCAGCACTTCATATGTTCCCTGAGCACCTCCAGGATGATTCCTGATTGTAGAGCCAGGAGTAAACCTTAAGCATTGCAGGGTGTGACCCAAAAACCAAACCAAAACAAAACAAACAAAAAAACCCCAAAACCAAAATCCAAAATAAAACACCCAAAAAACAAACCAGTCTGAAGATTTCTCAGAGAAATAAGAATAGAGCAACTGTATGACCCAGCAATTCACTTCTAGGAATTATCCCCAGGACACAAAAATATTCATTCTGAAGGAAATGATGCACACCATTATCCATTGTAGCATGTGGTACAATGGCCGGGATATAGCATTAACCTAGGCGTCCAATGACAGACGAGTGGTTGATGAAGATGTCGCATATATACACAATGGAATACTATGCAGTTTCAAAGGATGAGTTCATGCTATTCACTGCAACTTAGATGAAACTGGAAGTCAGTATGTTAAGTGAAGGACAAACATTGGATGATCTCACTTATTTGCAGTACAGAGTAACAGTATAAGGGAATGCAAGGTATCAGAGGGGGGATACCTAGATTACCCTTGGCCCTAGATTACAGAAAAAAGGGACGGATGAAATCAAGAGAGTAAGAAGTGTATGAGTTAATGGGGTAGGGACCAGGAGCCTCGGGTACATGAGCGGTGTAGAGGTGTGGTTATGTATCTAAGCCACAAAGCCAACAACGTTGAAAGCATGAAATCCAAACTACAACAACCAAACTTAAAAACATGCTTGTCAAAACGCATGCTGGGAGGTGTGAGGGGACCCGGAGAACGTTGGTGGAATGAAGCTGACAGATAGTAGGATTGGTGTTAGAACATTGTATGCATGAAACCCAACTATAAATAACTTTGTAAATCAAGGTGCCTTAATAATAATAAAAACTGCAGAATTTGAGTTTAAAAAAATGTTATCTCTACTATTACTCTGCAAACTGAAAATACTGTAGTACAGCAGGAACCATATACCTTTTGTTGAAATAGAAAGGTTTATTGGGAAGTAAGTAGAAGAGAAAGGAAGAGAAACTCTCCAGTTGGGTAAGAATTCAGTATAGGACTAAGTTCAAGGACACTGAGATTTCATACACAACAACGATGATATATATTCAGTCATTTTGTGATCCATCTTCTTCGAGAGCAAAGAAAATTTTGTTTACTTTTTGTTTTTTTGCTACCTGGCTCTACTTAGGGGCTACTCCCAGCTCAGTGCGTGGGACAACTCCCAGGGGTGCTCAAGAGACAGTGTGGCACTAGGGATCAAATTCAGTGCTTCTGCATGCGAAGGTTTTGATGATATTCCAATGATAGTCATTGGTAGGAACTCCTGTCATTTTGTATGGTCTCTGATACTAGCCTTTGAAAATGTTGTCTATTCCAAAGGCTACAACCTATGTGCTGGGAGCAATAAAATGATAACATTTTTTCCTATTTATGCAAACTTGAAGTTGTATGCAGTTACTCCACTGTTTTAAGACCTAGATAGTGATATCTGAACCAGATTCAGTTTGATTAGTAATAAAATTCCTCAAGAAACATCTTGGGGGCAGACTAGATTTAGCCATTCTCCTTGATTCTGTTCTGGTTTCACTAGCTTATAGTTTTCAAGGTCACAATAGTCACTAGTATCAAGATGATGAAAAAAGGAGGGGGAGATTTCTTCACAAACGAAAATAAGTTCCTTACTTCCATTTAGCTGACACTCAACAAACTTTAAAAGAAACTGGGGAATTACACTAGTTGTATGCCCAGGAAGAACATAAAATGTTTTATGAATGGCTAATCAGGTTTCTGCCACAGGTCCTAAGGTAAAAGAAAAAAAAGCACCAGCTAGATAAAAGGAACAAGAAGTTGACTAGGGATGTGGCTCAGCTGTAATATGCATGCCTCTACAGGGAAAACAAAACAAAACAAAACAAAACAAATGAGGGCTGGGAATGGGAGCTAAGAATCAGGGCACTGGCTTTGTATGAATAAGGTGCTGACACCACAAAAACACAAAATAAAAGCCAATCACTCAGGAGACTTTGTCCTCTCTGGTAGGCTTGACCTTTTTCTTCTAGTTTAAATCATTTCACTGCTATGTAGGGTTCATTTTCTTCTAAATAATAGGGTTACAGTTGTGTCACACACCTGGCAGTGATGTGAGACAGGGATTGCTTCCTGGGGAACAAGTGGTGGCAAGTTCTCTGTCTGCTGTATTTCTTCCGTCCAGTAATTGTATTACTTAAAAGAGTCTTTTTCATAGTGTAAGTATAGAAGTTCGAGTGCAGAAAGATAAAAAATGGATTTCAGATACTGAAAAGCATCACTGAGTCCTCTTTAAATTGATGTGAAGAAAGGAAAATGAGTAAAATCACTAGAATAAGTTAAAGAATCAGATATATGGAGAACTGAAGAGAATAAAGATAAGTGGAAGGGACAAGGCAGATGCATCTAGTGTAAAGATGGAAGAGTTAATCTCACGTAATAGCCAGTGTATCTAATTCCTCTAAAGAAAAGGAATAATCTTGAAGTTTCTGAAAAATTCTGAAAAATTTAAGGACCCTGTATCTAATAGTTTTATCCTTCGTATGGCAAATAGTCTTAAGTGAAATGTGACTGGGATTTAAAATTGCAAGATGCATTCTGGTAGAAATGGAGAAAGGTGCCAAAGAAAAACAGGAGAGAATTCAGTTAAGTCACAGGTAAAAAATGCAACGTAGTGCTCTGCAGACTCATTATAGAATAGAGCCGGTAGATCAACAATTGGTGTACATATTTACTTAACCTTATTCACAGCATAAAGACTTCGATTTCCTAAACTATTCACATAGAAGACTCAGGATGAGGTTTTGAATGAATTGACTCAGTTATTGCCAATTCTGCCATAGTAGAGTACTGGCAACTGCCCACAATTCTTACGGTATGCCAATGCTAAAGAGAAAACACACACACACACACACACACACACACACACACACACAAACGCTGAAAAAAAAAAATTCAGGCATGCACAGCTAAACTTAGCAATCTTAAAATGGCAACGCTGTCAGCTGAGGCTTTTTTCCTGTGTGCCAGGACATCTGCCTTTGATGTCTGCTTCTTTTTTCCTTCTGCCACCGTCTTAACGGTGCAGAGGGGGGAACACTTTGGAGTTTAGTAAACTGTGCAAACATTTCAAAAAGTACTAGAAGTTCTTCAGGACTTCGACCAATAAACTCCGAACCCCCATCCCCACGTTGCAAGAGAGGTGTAGACAAGGCTGATTATTTACAGGGCTCGCTTCACACGTTAAGAGGTTAAGTGGAGGTGGGGATGGGGGGGATGGAAGAACAAAATCAGGGTCATTCAAGGGAAACTTTCTCCAAGTTGGGGCCAAGATTCCACTTCGCCTTCAGAAACTTCGGAGCCGTTCTTTTTCCAAAGTGGGCCACGGTGGCCCGAGGGGTGCGGGGACCCGGAAGCGCCAGAAGCAATTGGGAGCAGCTCAGACTAGAAGGGGTGGGGTGGCGCATTGACTACTGTTTTTAAGAGGGGGCAGCGGGCCCAAGCAGCTGGGGGCGTGGGGGGCTCCGCTTCGGCGCATTCGTCTGCCCCCAAAAGCCGTCCTGGGACTCCTTCGTCTTCTCCTTAGGCTGAAGACCCCAAGTCTCAAGCTTCGGCCCGCGGGGGACTCCTCCCCGTCCTCGACGCCGTCTCTTCCGGGTCCCCCCCACTCACGATCCGGCGGCGGGGGTGGGGTGGGGGTGGTAGGGCGGGGCAAGGGCCAGTCCGGAAAGCGACGTCCACCCCGGCCCAGGCCCGGCCCCACCTCCCGGATCCCGCGCAGCTGCCGCCGGCCCGCGCAGCGCCCCGGAACCCGGCCCGAGTCCCGCGGCGGCTCCCTCGGCCACCCGCGCGTCCGCTCCGGCGCCGGCTGATGGCGTCACGCGCACTTCCGCCCGCGGCTGCGTACTAGGCACGGGCGAGGAAGGCCGAAGGGAGGGCTGCGGGGCTGCGCGCGGGGCTGAGAGCGAGGCGAGAGCAGGCACGCGGGCGCTTCCTGCCGCCTCCGCGCTCCCCCCCGGTGCGCCCCGCTGGGGAAGTCGCCCCAGCACCCCCCTCCTCCCCAATCCCGCCTCGTCCTGGCCCCCGTCGGGGCCGCGCCTCCTCCGTCCGGGACGCCCGCCCGCCCGCCCGGCTCCGCCACGACGCCTCCCCACCCCCCCACCCCCCGGCTTCCTCCCGCTCCCTCCCTCCCTCCCCGCGCCGGGCTCCCCGCCCTTAGTATCGCGAGACGAGGTGAGAGCTGGCGGAGCGGCGGCGGCGGCGGCGGCAGTAGAGGTGACCGAGGCGGTGGCGGCGGAGGCGGCCCCGAGCGCTGTGTCGGCCCCGGTGCGGCCGAAGTCGCGGTAGAGCGAAGCCCCCACGCCCCTCCCCCGTCCGCGCCCTCCCTCTTCCCCGGGGATGGAGAAGGCGACGGTTCCGGCGGCGGCGGCGGCGGCGGCTGCTGAGGGAGAAGGGAGCCCCCCGGCGGCGGCGGCGGCGGCGGCGGCGGCGGCTGGCCCCCCCGTGGCGGCGGCGGCGGCGGCGGCAGCGGCGGCGGCAGCAGCGGCGGCGGCGGCGGCGGCGGCGGCGGAGGAGGAGGAGGAGGTCGGCGGCTGCGTTGGCGGCGGCGAGGCTCGCTCGGCCTCCTCTCCGCGTGGAATGGTGCGAGTGTGCGACCTGCTCCTGAAGAAGAAGCCACCGCAGCAGCCACCCCACAAGGCCAAGCGGAACCGGACCTGCCGACCCCCCAGCAGCAGCGAAAGCAGCAGCGACAGCGACAACAGCGGCGGCGGTGCAGGCGGCGGTGGTGCAGGCGGCGGCGGTGCAGGCGGCGGCGGCGGCGCAGGCGGCGGCACCAGTAGCAACAACAGCGAGGAAGAGGAGGACGACGACGACGAGGAAGAAGAGGTTTCTGAGGCAAGGGCCTGCTTGGCAGGGCGGGCGGGTGGAAGGGCCTGGAAGGGGAAGGGGCCGGGGGTGGGAGGGGACTTGGCGGCGGGGCCGATCTGGCCCTTCTCCTCCTTCTCCTTACCCCCCCACCCCCATCGGCGCCAACCCCCCCCCCCCCCTTATTGCCGCTGCCCCCTTCCCGGGGCCGCGGCAGTGGGGTGTGGGGGGAGGGTGGCCGACACGTGGGGGTGGAGGACTACCGAGTGCACGGAGTAGGGGGTTTGGGGGGAGCACCACGCTGCCCCTGGCCGCGCTGGGAACGGAGGCGCCAAGCGAGCCTCCCCGTTTGCACCCGCGGCGGGTTGCTCCGGGGCCAGCAAGGCCCGCTTATATTTCCCGGCGGCCAAGTCGGACGGGGTGAACTAATATTAGGCCGATGAGTCTCCTGGGGGAGCACTAGGAAGTGGGTCCATGCCCCCCCCCCCCACCCCCGATGGTGAGTTAACGAGGAGCTGTGTCTCGGGTGGGGGGCTGGAGGGGGGAGGCAGGCTTTGTACCCGGGCGCGGGGCGCACGCCGGGGTCGGGGGGTTGTGCGGGACACGTGAGAGGCTGTACTTTTCCATCCCGTCCCGCTGCAGGTTCTTTGCAGGACTCTTGTGGCCGCTTCAAGTAGCCCCCCTTCACTTTCCTCGATCACGCAGGGATTTTCAGGGCACCCGATCGGCTGTTCCTTATGTGTTTCTGGCTATTAATTCAGGACTTGCAGCTCTGTTGGGCCCTCCCGTGCCCTAGGCGGCGTTTTCGAAAACCCCCTTCTTAGGAGTAGGAAAAGTGGACCCAGTTTGTTTCCCCCGGTAATGTGGAGGAGTTAAAACAGTCTGCTTTGGAGCTGGGCTTAGTTGTGGTGAGTTGGAATAGGAAGGCCTCTTGGTTTGTCCTAGTGATCTGGTTTCATAATAACTGTTTATGATTTTTCCCGGGTCCACAGACAGGCGGCGTTGCAGGACCTTTTTCTTCAAAGAAGACCATGTAACCCCAAAGCTCAGTAAAATATGCCATACTGACAACAGAGTAAGAAATTAGCCTTACTAGTTATATTAGCTCTTTGGAATTCCCTGCTCACTCCCTCATATGGAAACTAGGAAAATCTTGATTTGAGGAAAGAAATGGGAACAGGAGGCAGAAGGAAAACAATTTTAAAGACTGATTGGACATTTAGTTATGAGAGAACAAGAAGTACCATTTGCCATTTATTCTCTTCCACAAACAAGAGTGCTGAACTTGGTGCAAAGCTGTTGTTTCAATTTATATTAGTGCATGTCAGTTTCTGTTTAAATGGATTGAAAGCCCTTAAGAGAGTTAGACACTTGTCTCTTAGTAGTGATCAGATTTTCTTACCTCAAATTAGAGGAAATTATGTAGGTATAGATGTAATAATTCAAGTACCAAAAAATTGTGGATGCTTCCTGCCATTCTACTTAGCCTATTGAATTCTAAGGGAAGGATGTATTCGTAGATTTTGTATTGACCTCGTTGGATGTTTTAGCATAGTGTTCGTGCTGCATACGAACAATGAAAGAAAGGATGTGACAGAATCTTTTCATTCCCCTGTAAAATAGACTATGGATTTAGGATCATTCAATTCTGATTTGTTTTATAGTTGAGTAACATTTTAGAGTTAATCTGGTTCAACCTTTTTACTTGAAAAATGAGGATAACATGGTCTAGATATAAAGGGGTTGTGGCAATTAGCAAAAGTTCTCTAATGATTTAGTTCCAGTCCTTGACAGTATTTTCTTCTGCACCCCTTACTTGTGTGAAAAAATGGTACATTGCATAGTGATGCAGTCATGTAGATTTAGGCAAAAGAGAATCCCAATTTAAGATCTTAAGGTGTTGGATAAAAAGGTCTGCTTTGGGAGAGTCACAGTAATTGAGTGCATTACACACTATAATGTTAAGCTGTAGGCCACATACCTAGGTAGTTTTGTCCATTGAGTTTTGGCTTAAGTAGAACTTTTAGTAATTTAAATTATATAGAGTAGTGTTTGTAAATGGGTAAATTTTTTGTCAGGTTTTTCTTGGAGAATAGCATGGTATGTTTGCTTTAGAGAAGTGTTCTTTAATGTGCTTTATTCTCACTTATGCATAGTGGTGTAAACAAAAGTTTTGTCATTTATTTTGAAGATAAAGAGGAACAGGTGTAAGAAATAGGTGTAAGAAAAGTGCTATCATTCAAAATAAAATCAAACAAATATACAGTGATGGAATGAACAGATAAGAATACAGAACCTGCCTACATCCTTGCCTAAATAAGTTAAACATTCAGTGTGCCCTGTAAGTTAAATGGGTGAGTTGACAAATGTTTTCCCATTTTGTTGCATATCAACTTGTTGAATTTCATAGAGCTGGGAAATCTTGTCATTTCTACAAAGTGCCACTTAAGTCCGTTTTCTAATTCGTTGTATTGACTGCACAGTAAAAAAGTGGATAACATGATCCTTGAGATTAACCTTCCAATAAAAATCATGAGGTTAACAAAGGGTAGGTGATTTCAGTTTTGGGGTATTTAACCTGAGTAAATGAAGGAAAGTTGTAACAATCTGTATATTAGTAATAAAGAAGTGCTAGCTGAATTGACTTTATCTGTTAAGAGGAAAAGTGGAAAGTTTTTTCAATTGGAAAACTTGTACTTGATGAAGAAAGAATCTATTTTTTAAAAAAATAACTAGAGTTACTAAGAATTGAATTTCTATTGTAATTGAGAATAATATAATCACGCTCTAGATAATTTACCTAACTGAATAAACCTGGACGCAAACGCACAAGAACCAAGAATTCTTTCTCTCATTTGACACAGAACAAAAGTAGATTAGAAATTAAAAATGTTTTTTTTTTGTGGTGACTGACTGATGCTGAAAATAGGAATATATTTCATGACGTAAAAATTGTGATACTCCCTTTTTGAAATTAATGGACCAAGTTTATAATTCCTTACTTGGATATCACAAGAAATTCTTCATTTTAGAAACAAATAATATTAAATTCAATTGAATATATTTTAAAATGTAATTGACATTAGTATTTGCTGAAGCAGAATTGGAAGGGAAAAACTTGCCATTAAAAGTGATTTATATTAATATTTTCATTAAAGATGCATAAAATGTAAAGACTAGGAGTTGATTAGAAAATCTTTTTTATTGGTAACTGAAGGCAAACCTAATGAAGATATTTTAGACAAGTGAAGCCAGTAAATAAATTAGGATTGACTTACTCACTTTTGAAAAGATATGCATCCCCAGAGAGATTCTGTTTATAGACATAAAAGGAGGATTGAAATGAAAGAAAAAAAATACTACAGAAATACATTCTTTAGTTTCACACTTCGGAGTCTTTTTATGTTGTTTTTATTTTGAAATGGAAAAATACCATCTATGTACCTTTGTTTTAATGCTAGAATTCCACATTTAACTTAAACTTATTTGTTACCCACTTTATTTCTTAAGTGATGTAGTATTTTGAAACTAGAAGTTAAGTAAACTTTGAAACTTCCTTTCTGTTCTTTTTGTCCTTTGGGCCACACCTGACTCTGCTCAGGGATCACTCCTTGCAGATCTGGGGGCCACCTGTGGTGGGGGATGAAGCCAGGGTCAAGCTCCTTAACTGATGGGATGTGATCTCTCTCGTCCCCTTCTTTGATTTTTAGTAAGACATATTTCCTATTCTATTTAAGTACAGGACTGATAAATTTAGAGAAAAGTTTTTTTTTTTTTTTCAGTGGCTAGAACTAAGAAATTCATTTAGGAAACCAAAAGGAGTTGTTTTTCCTTGAATCCAGAGTGCAGGTTGATGGAAGTTTGAATTTCATCATCTTTTAGTTCTCTTAATGATGGTGATTTTTACATTAGTATTAGAGGTAGTTAGTTAAATTAATGGACATGATTGTTATTTCCTGATAAGTACAATAAGTTTTCTAGATTTTAAAAAAATGTAATAAAAACTTCATAGTCTTAGCAAGTTATTTACTGCTCTCTGCTTCATATGTAAATGATGTTAAACAACCTTCTTACACACTGTGAGAATTAGGAGAGTTAACAGTTTTTGTGTATCCTTATTTTTACCATAACTATGAAGTTATTAAAAGTAATTGATTTCTTACTCGGTAAATGATTAGAGATTCTCTATACACCAGGCATTTGGTTACAAATGATAAGTAAACTGAAGACAAATTGATTTACAAATGCACCATTTATTAAATAAGAATTGGGGGAGATTATAAGTGAAGGGCCAGGGAGATAGCACAGAAGAGGGCACTGTTTGTATGTTGGGGTCCGGGTTGATCCCTGCACCGTGCTTGCCAAGCACCACCAGGAGGATCCCAGTACTGCCTCCTGTGGCCCAAAACGAACAAATCAATTTATAGGTGAGAGCGAGATTAAGTGGTTAAGTGTAAAGCTTCAGAAGTATACAATTATTGGGTGAATATAGTCATGTTCATGCTTAATTTAGAGGCAAAGATTACGACATACAGGGATTTTGGGTAACTACGGGGTCATACTGCTAATAAGTGGCAGAGCAAGACTTAACCTGTGACTGATACAAAGCCTGCTCATTCACATACTCGTGTTATATAATTTGAGTACAACTTCCCTGATGGCACAAAGGTATTGGGGGTGGAAGTCCGTTAAGATAGAGGAGTGTCCACTATGACAACATTTTTGGAAATGTTTACTCTGGACAAGAACTGAGTGCTGAACGTAAGTAAAGGAATATACATGAAAATCTTTCTGTATTGCAGACCATAGTGCCCAAAATGAGAGACTAAGAAAGAGAAGAGAGTTGCCTGCAGTAGAGGCAGGCTGGGGTGGGGAGTAACTTGAAGGGGTGGGAGGGAAACGGGGACGCTGGTGCTGGGAAATTACAGGAGGGATGGGTGTTGGAACATTGTAAGACAGAAACCCAATCATGAACAGCTTTGTAATGCTCTGTCTCATGGTGATTCAATTTAAAAAATAATAAAAATTTT